CATAGTTTGGGATGTTACAACACGAGCAAAGCTCTTCAATCCAGCAGTGTGAGTAAACTTTTGTTGTTGTCTGCTAGCAAAACCAATGTGCTTTCGGTCCTACAATTTGAACTCCACATGACTTATAAATTCAATAATATAGTGACATAATATTATTCTTAAAGTGTGTCATACATCTCATTTCTTTGAACTCCAAAACCTGACTGTATCTTCCCATTCCAGGTGGGACATTTTGCAGCTTTCATTCGAGGCTAAGATTGTTCTTAAAATATTTATTTTTTAAGAAACTCTTGTGGTCTCTCCATTACTCTTGTGGTCTCTCCATTTCTTTCCTAACGCTTGCTTCAATTAATCGTCTGAGACCTTTGTCGAAGCGATTTTTGAGTGCGGTGTGGGGAGGCGAGATTTTGAAAACCACGTCATTTTTAATTATTCTCTTTACGATTGAATTTTAATTAAAAACAATGTGATTTTAAAAAACCTCTCGTTTCGAAAATTTGGAAATTCCTTTATGATTAAAAACATACGGTTCGAGGAGTCGCCACCAATCTTTGATTAGGGTGTGATTGGGCACCCAAAAAATGTTTTGTCATTTTAAATAAAAAATTAATTTTAATTAAAACAACAAATTTAGGTCTGTATTACCAAAATTCGAGTTCGGGAGTTGATTACGCGTAGGGAAGGATTAACACCCCCACAACGCCCTAAATCGGTACCTCGTCGATTAATTAATGTCTTTGCAACGAATTTCACAAGTTTGAGTTTAATTTGATTAATGATCCCTAAAAACAACAAAGCAAAATTTATAAAATTCAAAAATAACAAAATAAATTAAATTAGGATTACCAAGCCATTAGAAAGATAAAGAATATTTGATTATTTAAAGATATCGAGACCAGATCTTTAGTTTAGTTCTAACGACCTTTTCTCGAAAAATTTTAATAGTCGAATATTTCCTTTTCTTTTGTTCCCAAATTTTACAAGGATAAATCCAAATTTAATTAGGCGTTACTGACGGGATATAATTTTAATTTAAAATTGCCAAAACAACTCTCTAGTAAGTTAGGAGAAGTTATTCCAACAATTTTAAATTAAAAGAATATTACCCTTATTCCAATTATGTAATGGTGTCGGGTCAAACTCAAGAGGCTGACATGCAGAAAAAATTCACACCTAAACATGTGCGTATCATACTCAAAATAATATATACATGCATATACTTAAAGTAAATATATCTTAACCTTACAAACATGCATAAAATATTAAACAAAAGGACTCAAAATAAAAATTTAAAGTAAGGGGCCAGAAGCATAATCAATGCAAAATTAGATTAAACATACTAAATGGATTAGAATAGCACATACAAGACATTCAAAGGTCAAATGTTTAAAACAGCAAAGGTTCAACTACAACACTACTTAGGACTAAAATGTAACTCTCAAAATAAATAAATTGGTTGAGTAAACAAACAGAAATTCAAAACAATTTAATTCGGGACTAAAAATAAATACGCTCAAAATATGATGGCAAAATCAGAATCTAAAACAACGCAGTGACCAACATTAAACACGCACAGGAATATAAAGACCAAATTACAAAGCAAACAAGGACTCGACATAGGGACTAAAATATAACATGCGGAAGTTGAAGTTCTAATATCTAAACAACAAAAGTTACATAAATAAACACTTAGGACTAAAATCAAAAGTGCATACAAATATAACATGCTTGATCACGAAACCCCTTGTCCATCATGAAAACCTTCTACTCTGATGACCACTCACAAATCGACACCTTTTGATTATGCCATGATCATGCATGCAGACAATGGGAAAAACCACATAAAAAACAAGTTAGTACAAATATGATAACAAAATGACAAAAGGCAACAATAACAAAATAAGTAAATTAATAAGATAATGCAAAAATAAAAAATGCGAGTACAAATGCAAATGCACGAGGTGTTAATTCCAAAAGTGACCACTTGTAGAACAACCGTTCACTTAGACAACAAGAATTCAGTTAGTACACCATGTAGTCAAAATACAATGTGATTCTTTATCTCTTCATTTTCTTGATACTCTTCATGGGATCTGGTATTGCACCTCCAAAATTGTCGGTGTATTTGATCACCTTTGATGACGTCGGATGTCTTTAAATTGAATCTTGAAATCTTCATTCTTTCCTCCAATGTGAAGTGGTCTTCATGTCTTTATAAAGGGTCTTCATGTCTTTATGAATGGTCTTCTCATCTTTATGAATAGTCTTCTTATCTTTACGAATGGTCTTCTCGTCCTTAGTATGACTGAATTTATCCCTTGAGTTAACATCTTCGCCTTTACACTTTTAAAGGAATTCTTCAATCAGCTTCAGATCTCTTCATTCATCGGGCGTCCTTCTTCATGGATCGTTTGAACATCTCTGGATCTCCTGGTTTTTACTACATGGTGGAGAATTTCTTGCCTCAATATGTTCAGCCTTCTTGTTAGTCAATCATTTGCGAATTAACACCCCTCGATGACATGAGGATGCAAATGCAATAAAATCACAATAAAATAGACATATAACAAAAATGGGTTAGTGCACATAAGATAAACAACAAGATAGTGGATACTGTAAACATCAAATAAAACCTACCCTCACATGCTGACTACCCAATCATGTTTTAGTAGATCCTACCCAAAATGATATCTACCTACATACTTTGTCATTCACAAAAACTACTAACCACATGGTATCTAATTCACATGCTTTGTGCGAAAATATAAAACCTAACCGCATGCTTTTCTAGTTCTCATACTTCTTGCAAAAATAAATTCGAGGAAAATGTTAGAATGAGTTTCCCCTTAATGTCTGCGGACAGAGATTCAGCATAAAACGGGCAGAGTTTCGGTATCACTAAAAGGGTCCTCGAATTATCCTTTACTGGTGCCCCCTTGGGCTTGCCAAACCCTCAATCCTCACCCATTATAGGCTTAGAACGAATCAAGTTCAATTTGAGAGGATACATTTCCCTATGTCCATGCGAGAAAACTCAATGTTTCACTCGTAAACATAAGGCATGTACCCCAGAGGTTACTTGCTAAAGCCCATGCGGAGAAAAGTAATTTTTCTCACGTAAGCGTAGCGTTCACCCCTACCTAACGGGACAGAGCACAGTTAGAAGGCTCTAAATATCGAAAGGTTATAGCGGCAGTGAAGGGGAAACCCATAATCCTTTGCCTCGATCCAAGAAAAACAACAAACTTAAGGTCAGAAAACTGAAACATGCAAATCACACGTTAGTACAACTATTTATTTGTTAATCAAATCGTAAATTTAAAATGCAAACAACAATTTAAAACAAACCAGGGATCAACAACCAAATTAAAGTAAACTTATAACTTTCAATTTGCAAAGACAATTAATTAATCGACTATCGGCCTGACTCTCTAAAAAAAAGTCCCCAGTGGAGTCGCCAAGTTGTCGAAACGATTTTTAAGTGCGGTGTGGGGAGGCGAGATTTTGAAAACCACGTCATTTTTAATTATTCTCTTTACGATTGAATTTTAATTAAAAACAATGTGATTTTAAGAAACCTCTCGTTTCAAAATTTTGGAAATTCCTTTATGATTAAAAACATACGGTTCGAGGAGTCGCCACCAATCTTTGATTAGGGTGTGATTGGGCACCCAAAAAATGTTTTGTCATTTTAAATAAAAAAATTAATTTTTATTAAAACAACAAATTTAGGTCTGCATTACCAAAATTCGAGTTCGGGAGTCGATTAAGTGTGAGGGAGGATTAGCACCCCCACAGCACCCTAAATCGGTACCTCGTCAATTAATTAATGTCTTTGCAACGAATTTCACAAGTTCGAGTTTAATTTGATTAATGATCCCTAAAAACAACAAAGCATAATTTATAAAATTCAAAAATAACGAAATAAATTAAATTAGGATTACCAAGCCATTAGAAAGATAAAGAATATTCGATTATTTAAAGATATCGAGACCAGATCTTTAGTTTAGTTCTAACGACCTATTCTCAAAAAATTTTAATAGTCGAATATTTCCTTTTCTTTCGTTCCCAAATTTTACAAGGATAGATCCAAATTTAATTAGGCGTTACTGACGGGATATAATTTTAATTTAAAATTGCCAAAACAACTCTCTAATAAGTTAGGAGAAGTTATTCCGACAATTTTAAATTAAAAGAATATTACCCTTATTCCAAATATGTAATGGTGTCGGGTCAAACTCAAGAGGCTAACATGCAGAAAAAATTCACACCTAAACATGTGTGTATCATACTCAAAATAATATATACATGCATATACTTAAAGTAAATATATCTTAACCTTACAAACATGCATAAAATATTAAACAAAAGGACTCAAAATAAAAATTTAAAGTAAGGGGCCAGAAGCATAATCAATGCAAAATTAGATTAAACATACTAAATGGATTAGAATAGCACATGCAAGACATTCAAAGGTCAAATGTTTAAAACAACAAAGGTTCAACTACAACACTACTTAGGACTAAAATGTAACTCTCAAAATAAATAAATTGGTTGAGTAAACAAATGGAAATTCAAAACAATTTAATTCGGGACTAAAAATAAATACGCTCAAAATATGATGGCAAAATCAGAAACTGAAACAACGCGGTGACCAACATTAAACACGCACAGGAATATAAAGACCAAATTATAAAGCAAACAAGGACTCGACATAAGGACTAAAATATAACATGCGAAAGTTGAAGTTCTAATATCTAAACAACATAAGTTACATAAATAAACACTTAGGACTAAAATCAAAAGTGCATACAAATAAAAGACCAAATGAAAAATGAAAAACTCGATTTTAGGGTTAAAATGAATTGTAAACGAATGACGAATGACCCAAAAACCAATTAATCCATGCGTGAAACAGGGCAACAAAACACTGCAGTTTTAATGCATACTTATATTCTAAACTTATGTAAGTTTAACCCTAACTCTCATTTGCTCTCTTAACACTCCCCAGCACCGTTCTCTCTATCTTTCTCTCTTCAACCCTCAACGTCGCTCGACCGAGAGCCACAAAGGCTCGCTCTACGCCGACCACCACCGATTGGTGGCCGTTATACCCCCGATTATCTTCTCAAATCAACCACAAAACCCACACCAAACTTATATAACCCCCAAATTACCCTAGAAACTGCCTAGTGAGATCCAAATCGACCCAAACAGCCTCAACACCACGTGCGAGCCTGAACTCAAAGGAAAATGACCCTTCCACACTCAAAACAGCCTGAAAATGGATACCTTTAAGGAATCCACAGTGACCCAACCTCAGGCGACGACTGTAATCCTCTTCTGATGGAAAAGGTAATAACTTTTGATAGATTTCTTTGGTTCTATGCTTTAGGGTACTTGGTTGCTGATTTTTCTCTCGGGCTATGGCATGCTCAAGTCTAAAACGTTTTGGTTGTGAATATTTCTAATAACAGGAACAAGTAAGATTTTTTTACACTTTAAAAAACGCTCCCCTTCTTATTGTTGAATCATTAAAAAAAAAGGGAATGATATGCTTCTGTCGAATGGCCAAAATAAGAACTCTTATTTTTTATTGATCACTTACAAAAGGAAACGGAAATAAGACCATATCCTTCTTTTTCATCCAATCGAAGGAAGAAGATGACCCCCTCCCACTGTTAATGTCTCCCTTGAATTATGTGTATCCCTGCTAATGGAGTAATGGGCGTTGTAGGGTATGGGCATGAGCTGTTGGTGGTGTTTTCTCGGGGTGCCGAGCCTTGTCTGTCGCGCTTCACGTGGGTGGATGGTAAGCCGGGGTTGGAAATGGTGAAGGCACGGGCACGAGTTGGAAATGGTGAGCTCGTGGTGGTTTCTGCTGGGGGTTGTTCCTGGCCTCACGTGATGTTTCAACCAGGTTCGCTTGGGCCTGCTCTGCTTTGCGGGCTCGGGTTTTAGGCTTGTCTTGAACTTGTAATAATTTGGCTTGTAATTGGACTGTAATTATTTGTAGTCTATTTTGGGCTTTGTAAGATATAAATGGACCTTAGACACTTAATTTATATTGAACTTCAATCTGTGTCTCGATTTTTATATACGATTAATCCCAATTGAGCACCTAAAGCTTCCAAACGCAAACTTTCACGCTTCGTCATTTGAATTGATTCTTCATCTGAGCACAATTACCTCCAAATTAATTATCGGGTATCTTCAAATAGATTTAAAAGGCCCGGATAAAATTAGGGTATTACAACCTTTAAAGAAAATTTCTCCTACAAATTACACAAATGTTGAAAGTAAATATATATTATTATTATTGAACTACAATGAATTATTTATTACAATGAAATATTACCTTAATGCAATCCACAACCTGGTTTTTGCTACTATTAGGAATCTCACGTCATGACTCATAATTGATCGATCTCAAAGAGGAAGTTGGTACAATTCCTTCATTATCGAACGACCTCTACTATTGCACCTTTGACCATTTTCAGCTACATAAGAAATAATTTAGTGCATGTTTTCAAAATCAAGTCAATAAGAAAATTAGTCACCATTTAAATACAGAGTCGAACATTACCTTCAATTTCTACAGTTTCTTCAACTGTATTCGGAACTTCTGTAGATCCAACACTAATCTACTCTTCATAATTTGTTTTCTCCTCCTCTTGAGGAGCTTGAACAATCCACAGATCACTTAATTTTCTCCTAGGCATAATATATGCAATAAACAAACAACAATATTAGTAACTACTGACAACAATACTATTAATATATATATATATTCGACAACATCAATATATATAAATGATAACATTATAAATTAATCAATTAAGATATAAAATCTAACTAAATTATTATGTCATACCAATTTTCATAAATATCTTCATCCATGTCATCCCGAACATATTGGAATTGTGAACTGGTACCAGTAATAGGTTCATCTAAATTTTGTGCTACAAAAGACAAAGTTTATGATCTTGTTTCAATGTCATCTCTACTTCCATCCCCGATGTATATCAAGTCTCTAGGGGTGTCAAATTAACACACCTAATGTTAGATTAAAATTATATCTTTAAAATTATATCAAGTGTGGGAAGCATATTCCATGGTTAATGAGAATGCAACTAGAGAAGAAGTCAAATTAACATCAAGTTAGGGTTGTCACTAAGAGCAGCCCAAGCAATATATGAATGGAAGAGGCAGCACTAAGGGCTGTCACATAATATATTATATGGATAATTTGGATCCAATTAACCCTAGCAATATCATTGGTGCTTCGGAATATACCCTTTGAAATAATAACATATACGAAGTCTTAAAGAAAACCCTAGAAAATAAACACTTTAGAATTCGTTTCCACAATTAACATGTCATTTCCTATACAATTTGTCTCAATAAACACTTAAAGGAATGTTTTTATAGCTATGAATTCAGCATAATCTATCCCGAATCCCTTCATCGAAAAAAATAAAACTTGTATGACCACATACTCCGAACACAACACACCTCCACAACCAACCCTGGTTGGTAATTAAAGTTAACATCTTCATGATCAGCTTAAGATTAATGGATAACAAGCAGAAATTGTTGTTAAGTATATGTTATTAGTTGATGACCATGTCATTATCTCTGTATACTAAACCCTAATTAGATTTAATATCGTGAATCAATCAAATAGTAATTCAATCAATAAAATTATAATAAATTAAATCTTAAGATAATACATAATTATATAGGCATTATATATATATATAATACTATTTCAAAAGGTTATGGATCAATCAAATATTAATTGAATTAACATTAGTTATTCGCATCATTAGTCTTCATCTCAGCTATATCAACCCCAGCATAAAGAATTAAATTATCACCGAAGAATAAGTGAGAGTAAGAATCCATTATAAGCAAGTTGAAAAGGTTTTCAAGCACCGTTGCTAACAAAATTACTAATATTTCATCAATTCATTGACTCATTTATACTCTCATAAATATTTTACTCTCAAAATATTTTTTTAAAATATAATATTATTAATATATTTCATAATTTTAGATTGTATTTAATATATTAAATAATATTATAATATGAAAGATAATATATATATATATATTATGGTTAGATAAAGTCAAAAAAATTGGAGCAAATCATTGTCATAATATTATAAATAATTATAATAAAATTAATATAGAAACTCGAGTAACTCGATTCGAATTTCTTAAACTCAACTCGAAAAAAATTTAAGTTAAATTCAAATTATAAAATACAACTCATCAATTAAAATAATTTAAATTTTTTTTACTAAACTTGACTCAATCCAATGATCAACCCTAGTTTTTGCTAATAGTTTTGTTTTTGTCTCTCTACATTTGATGTGTACTTGATTTACTCGTTTGTTGATTATTGATGTCTGTCCTAGATTTGTTAGGGCAATCCCTCTTTAAATGGAATGAGTTATGTGGCCTCTCTTTTGCTTTGAATTTATGAATTTGCCTTGCAATAAAAGAAAGAGAGAACAGCAAAAACTGCCCTTTATCCATGCTAATATGAAATAGTGTGACGACGAAAATCATATCTTATGACTTCTGGATTTCAGATTTCTCGGGCCAAGTGTTTTGACATGACTTATGAGGGTAAAAAGAAATAAAAAGAATACCAAATGTCCCTATTTTTAAAGGTATTGTTTTATTAAAAGCTTTAAAAAAGCTAAAGCAAAAAACTACCCCCACTATCCTTTATCCTATACCCATGGTCATTCCACAGACAAAGATTATTTGTATGATCGTATCAGAAACTGGTATTAACATGTATTTACAACTGAATATAATTCAAATGTTAAAAGAAGATCGATCAATATTTGTTATTTTTTATTCTAAAAGTCGAACTGACACTGATATTTTTATCTCTTTCCCACTCAGAATTTAAAACCTGGCTCAGTCAGTCAGCTACAGACTCCAGTCAAAGCAGATCCTAGCCTTATTTGCATTTGCAGCTCTCTTTTCTGTCATGAAAACTTGCTTTAAAAACCCCATAATGGATATGCATTTGTAAATCCCAGATTCAGAATATTCAGATTCATCCATGAACATAGAATATTCACGTATATCTCCATCATGTTCCTGCCTTAGCTAGTATATAAAAACTTTAAAATGTCAAACACAGATGATATTTACTGTGGGTTATTATCCAAAAATGCTTTTAAAGATGAAAATATATATTAATAATATAAATTTTGCATATTAATATCATCGATAAAACGAACAATAATTGCATCGGACGTTGACCGACTTTCTATTGAGGCATAAATATCAGAGCTGAAGCATAGTATTTTTCAAAATTTCTGGCATAAAGAATGACTAAAATATATATATAATAAAAACAAGGATCAATATTTTCATGCATGTAAACAAACTGACACATGAAGGCAAAGTGAAAAACTTGGACAAAAAATATTCAGACTTGCTATTAGTCTTTATATACATATCAATCCCGATCATTCACCAAAATAAAAAAGCGAAAAACAAAACAAAGAAGAGATCAGAGAGAATAGAAAAATGAAGGCATCAATGAAAACCCTTTGATGGTGGATGCTAGCCGCTTTTCCTCACTTGTTGGATTCAGGATTCGGTCCGCTAGGCACTTCGTGAACCGCCACCTCGAACCGACAATCCGTAGAACCGCTTCCACCGGCGTTTTCAGATGGTGAAGAAGTGGAAAACGGGTGTAAACTCGGCATGGAATGGTGGTGAGTGTAAGATGAATAGATGGGACGTGCAAAGAGGGGAGAAATGAGGAGGAGGAGGAGGAGAAGGTGAAGGACGGACCATTGGTTTGCTGGTGAGTTTTGGGAGATCGATTTGTTGGGAATCGCCATGGAATTGTGATGAGAAAATGGGAACCTGCTGCAACCCTCCCCAGTAGAGCAGAAGGGAATAATATCCATGAACCAGTCGGACCACCAATTCAGATGAAAAAAAAAGAAAAGGGGAAAAACTAGGAGTTATGATGGAATTAATGGTGGAGTTTGTGAAAGTTAAAGATAAAGTTGTGACGCATTCCATGAACTTATATTAACGAGGCTGAACCTAATGTTCTTCCTGAAATACCCTTAATGCCCACCTTTCATCCTTTCTTATTTCTCTGACCTGTTAATCCAAACTTGAATTCAATTACACTAGTATATTGAATAGATATCCATGTAGATCTTTATATATCAAAATACATTATGTGGTAAAAAGTTTGTCTATAAGGTGAATCAAAAATTATTTTTAAAATTAAAAATACCTATTACGGTATGAATTATATGATTGTCGGTAATGCTAAAACAAGATTTGCACTAAGAATGCATGCCTCCAATTGATCATATAATCTCTTCTAAATCTCGATTGCGCTACTTTAGAGCTTCAATTCTTGGAAATTTCGGAAAATGGATATCGCAAATTGCTGTTGCAATTATGTGGATTTTGGGCGATTAATTATTATATTTGGGAATAAAAATAAACCCTAATTATATTTAATTTTAATATTTAAGAGAAAAAGATGATTTAGAAAATAAAATATTAGTTATATAAATGACATAGAAAAAAGTGATGATGTGAATAAATTTGAGGAGAGCCCCTGAAATAATTTCTTGAAAGAAAGGGACAAAAAATATTAAAATTATTGATTTTGACACACACATATATATATATATACATACGGGATGTATGTGGTTATTTATGGAAGCAATTATACACTTATTATTTTAAAAATTATATTAAATTTAGTTTAATTTGTAAAAAAATTATATACCTAATATTTTTAAAATAGTATTAATTTCTAGATCCGTAAATTAATGATATTTGAGTCACTGTATATCTATTGAGACATTTTATTTTAATTACTTTAGGGATTCCGTTATAAAAGGTATGAATATTTTTATATTGTTGCATTAGAAGTTTTATAGGACTGAAGTGTGAATAGGGATGGCAAACGGGTACAGTTTCGTGGATTTTGCACTGCATCCGCTCCAATTGGGGCGGGGATGTGTATAATTTTAGCGGGTAGTGGGCGGGTGTGGATTTAGAAAGTGGTACCCGTCGCGGGTGGTGGGCGGGTAATGGGTTTGAGACATTACCCGCCTCGCATCCGCCCGCCCCGCATCCGCCCGCCCCGCATCCGCCCGTCCAGCTAAATATCCATTAAATTTTGGACCATTATAAATTTAGGTGTAATTTTAGAGACTAATTTATAAATTCTAATATTGTATAAGATATAACATGTAATTTATCCAACTCTCCAACAAATAGCAAATGATATTTTGGGCATTCCTGTCTCCACTGTCCCATCAAAATCTGCATTCAGTATAGGTGGAAGAGTAATTGGTCCTTATCGTAGTCGACTACTTCCGGACGATTGAAGCATTAATGTATGCTCAAAATTGGCTTTGGGCCGATATTAAAGGTAATATTATTATTTTTTTATTAGTTGTCAAATGTGCTTAATTATCTTATTAAAGTTTAGTTACTAACTATATTAGTTTACTTTCTATTATATGTAGGTAGTAGTGAATTAAATTAGAGCGCTCTCAGTTGGAGGAAATAGAGAATGATGATTGTAATACTGGAGTATTATATGTCACAAATATTGCCTGAAATTTTATAATGTTGTGCCAAAGAACAAAAACATTATGTGTTTGTCATTTATGTTTCTAGACTTTAATTATGTCATTTATTATGGTGTTTTATGTATTTTAAGATCTATATTAACACTTAACTTATATATCCTTGGATTATTTTATTATGTTTCTTAATGGACAGTTTTTTTGTTGTTGCTTATGTATAACTAAGTTTGTGTCAAGCGGGTCTAGACGGGTACGTCGCTATGGGTGTGGGATGGATTTGAGAATGTACCGTGTGGGCGGTGTGGATTTGAAAATTTATACCCATCATGGGTGGTGGGCGGGTGGTGGATTGAAAATTATTAGGTGGGTATAGGGATGGGGGAGGGGGTATCCGCACCCGACCCGCCCGCTTGCCATCCCTAAGTGTGAAGCTTTACCTCAGTAAATTCTTTCTCCTACAATAACTTGTACCGAATAAAAAGGGCTGAATTTAAGAGATAATGTTGTGAGAAAAAAAATTCACAAGATAACGCGTTCCAACAATTAATTGTTGAGATAGGGTGTTTGCTACAGTTCGAATGAAGGTCGACGGGTGGTCTGGGCGACCAATGAAGCTCGCCAGGTGGTCTGGGCGCCATGCAAATTTGTTTCTTGTTTATACATGCAACAATTAATTGTTTGGGTTAAATGCAAATTTGGTCCTCATAACTTTGCACTCTCATACATGTATTTATTTTAGTCACAAACAATTATAATTTAGTCATACATGTTTCTTGTTTATCCTATTTTAGTATGTATTTATTTTAAAATTGATTATTGGGATATCTTGTTTTGTATTCAATATTTTTTATTTGTTATACGTTTATTTATTTCGAGTATTTTTCACTATTTTTTAGTTTTATTTAGTTTTATTTTATATTGGAAAATTTTGCGAAATAATATCGTTGGTAGGGAGAAATAAATACATACTAAAATAGGATAAACAAGAAACATGTATGACTAAATTATAATTAAACATAAATACTAAACAGTGGCTAAAATAACATGTTTACAAATTTCATGGCCAATTTCGAAAATTAAGGAAAATATATAAAACACATGAAATCAGCGATTAAAATGAAATAACTAAAAAATTATGATCAAAATGAAGCATACACAAACTTGACAAATAAACACTAGTGACTAAAATAATTATAAATATACATGCCTGAAACAAAACATTAAAAATGTCACTAAATGATTAAAAATAGATTACAAAGCATAGGGGACCGAAAATGCATTATCCCTAAATATTAAAACACGCGTATGAGAGTGTAAAGTTGTGAGGACCAAATTTGCATTTAACCCAAATAACTAGTGTTTAGTGTTTTGTTTGTGAAACAATCCGCATGACGCCCAGTATTGGTCGCCCAGACCACCTGGCGACCTTCATTTGGTCGCCCAGATCACCCGACGACCTTCATTTGAACTGTAGCAAACACTCTATCTCAACAATTAATTGTTGGAACGCGTTATCTCGTGAATTTTTTTTTCTCACAACATTATCTCGTAAATTCAGCCAATAAAAAGCTCTGCTTGATTTTGCTTAATCAAACTCAAAGAGTTTCCCCTCCACCATGCAGAAATATTCCAATAAAAGCAAAAACCAAGTGATTTAAAGAGATAAAGATCGGGAGAAAGAAGGAGAAAGTGAGAGCTTTGAGTAGAAAGCAAGCAACACAAAAGGCAAACAAAAAACCTACCTTTAATTATCTTCCGATGTGAGGCAAGCATATATGCCTTGCATGAGCAACATTAAAAATGAAAATGATTCCTTTAACCCAGATCAATGAACACCAACTTTTATTAAAATCTTCTGTTATACCTAGAGATTTAAATTATGGTTATTGTCGTATTTTTAGTTACGTTATGTTTATCGCGATTGCAGATAAAACAGGGGTAATTAAGATTATTGTGAGTATCATGGTTGTATAATAACAATTTCAAACAATATTTTTTTCGTTATCAACTATCTTTATTCCGATAACGGACCATTATTTAAATCCATTATTATGCCTTTTAATCACTCTCAACATTCTTCAAATTTACATTTCTGAGAGCACCTCCAGAATCACACCTTTAATGGCTAACCAAGTCACTTGTCTCCCTTCCTTGCCTTTATATACGTCTCTCTTCTTCCTTTCTTTATTCATAATACTTGTTTCTTCATTTCTGAAACTCGTTCATGGAAAACAGGATTTGCATGCTCCTTGTTTATTCAACAATGGCAGCCACTTTGTTCATTCACTGCGGTAAGCTCATCTCTGCTGCACTGTTCTTGGTATATTATATATATATATAAGAGTATCATCTTGTTATTCTAATCGTTTTCACATAAAAAAAATTCATGTTCTTAATGCAAACTGGATTACATGGAATGCAATAATGGAAGTGTGAAATTCCTTCAACATTAAGAGTTCGGTTGCTATCAACTTTTGTTTATTTATTGGTATAAGGACAAAAAAACCTAACGTTGTAGTAAAAAATCACTTTTGACCATTATTATTTTTCTTTATTATAATGGAGTATTTTGCCTCCAAAGTTTTATTTTGGGATAAAAATGTTTTTTGGTGGATGAAAACCCGTTAACAAACAAACGGTCAACATTTCAAAATAGGGATCTTTTTACTTTAACATGATTCGTTGGAGTCAAAATACTTTAGAAAAAATATGAGTTTAAGTGACTATTTAATCAAATGTTAAGAATTTTTTTTATCTTAAAGTGAAACTTTGTGAGTCGAAATATTTAAACAAATATAAATTAAGATAACTATTTAATCAAATGTTATGAGCATTCATCGACATTAGGCCTTCTTTATTTTAATCGGTTGTTCTTGTTGATGTGCCATCAACTTTTGATTCTTTGGTGTGATGGCAAGTCAAAAGGTTACTTGGATATAGAATATAAGAGTTTCCTTTGCGATTAAGTTTCTGTTGGTATTGATAGATGCAAGAAAATCAATGGAGGCTCTTTGCGTTAAGATGATTAATTGTAAATCTCTTTCTTTCTTTTTTCTTTTTCTTTTTTGGTATTGATAGATGCAGGAAAATCAATGGAGCTTGTCAAAGATCTAAAACATGGAAGAAGCACAAAGAAATTGCAGCTAATGAGTAAGCTCATGAGTTTAGTGATAGAAAAACCCACTGATTCTTCCAACACTCAACCATATGGTGTAAGCTCACCCTTTTCTTTGCCACCTTTTGATTCTTTACCCAATCCTCCTCCGGGTCTAAGCCCACCGGCAAGCTCGTACGGAACCTTTCCGAGCCCACCCATATTCTCGACCACCCCGAGCACACCACAAACAACACCGACAACTTACAACCCAATCCCATCGGGATCTGTATTCAGCCCACCCTTTTACGAGCCCAGTCCACCTGCCGGTGTCATGAGCCCACCATTCTATTTCCCATCTCCAATTGGGTTTAATCCAAGCCCACCGGTTTTTCTACCACCGATAGTGTACCCTCCACCGACGGTTCCACCACCTCCCAATGTGGCTCCGGCAACGGCCTTATGGTGCGTGGCTAAGCCGTCGGTGCCTGACCCGATTATCCAAGAAGCTATGAACTATGCATGTGGAACCGGAGCGGATTGTGATTCGATTCAACCTAATGGGTCATGCTTTCACCCGGACACATTGTATGCACATGCTTCATATGCTTTTAATAGCTATTGGCAAAGAACCAAATCTGGTGGTGGTGCATGTGAATTTGGAGGCACTGCCATACTTGTCGCAATTGATCCAAGTGAGTTTTTCAATTGATTTTTTCTTAAATGGTCATTTTATTATTAGTGAGTTTATAATTTGGTCATCATATTTTAAAAAGTAACAATCTAGTCACCGAATGTACCTTATAACAATTAGGACATTTTATCATTAAACATTATTTTACGCTTGATAACAACAAAGTGATCTGATTGTTACAACTTATAATACTCATATCATTTGTCCAACATCTTAAATCAATTGATTTTGTTTTACGAACAGGCTACGATGGATGCCATTTTGAGTATCATTGATGGGTGAAGATCGTCTTGACAGCTACAATACTTTTCTTTTTTCTCAATCTTGGATTTCTTTTTTCAATAAAGAATGTAAATTTTCCTTCATGTTACCATCACAGAAACATAAATTTTGCAAGTAAAAGAAAAATTACATGGAATAGATTCTCATAGGTAAATCCCTTTTGGAATTAGGTTTTTTCCCTTTTTCACGAGAATTGTAAATTGCATTGCAAAACTCTTGAAATATACATCACATACCAATAAAACAGAAGAGGATTTTTTTTTTTTATTATTATGAACTCTTAATCTTTATAATTTGTATGAACAACAATATCAATACAACTATACAAGTACTTATGAATAGGCGCAAATAGAAAATAATATTCAATAACACTTTTTTCTTTAATTATTGATATTCGATTTATTGATCGACTAATCTGGATCAGGTATTACAAAGGCGATGAAGAAAAATAAAAATAAAAATATTTTAATGATCTTTCAATAAATAAATAAATAACGAGAGAAATTACGTGAAAGTAAGAAAATAACTGTTAAGATTTTAGAGTTTTTAGTGTGTCACATCAACTATAGTTTATGGTTTAGCGGTCCAATAATTGAAATGAATTTTTTTAACAATAAAAACTCTAATAAAGGTTTTTAAAAATTTAAAGATGAAGGTAAAAGCGTCTTAAAAGATTAATGATTAGGGTAGTTTACCTTTAAGTTAATCATGTACTACTAATATAATGTGCATGTTTTAGACTTTAATTAAACACATTTTCAAATCTTGGCCCAAGAAAAGCCCAACCCAATCATTTCCTCAAAGCAAACAACTTCAGTTTTGAAGATCAAAACCGAAATGGCTTGAACCTCGTCCTCTTCCTCTTCCTTGGTTAATTTCGTCCCTCCTTCCTTCCCGTGATCGCGAAACCACCACATAGATCGTACCCTCTTCCTTTTCTCAAAACCATTCCTTCTCTTACAATGAAGATTTTCTCTGTTTTCTTAATATCTTTGCTTTTCTTCGCATTTCCTACTGTTCGTTCTCTTTCTCTTTTAATTTCTTTGAATATAATTTAGATCTGCTTCTAATTAATTCATTTAGTTGATTCCATTTTTTTCTGATTTCATTACCCTAGGCTGATTCTACTGGATCCATTTACTTCGTCGATAGTTCAAATCATCAGTTTTTTCGCTCTCAATCCTCCAACGATGGTGTTCAGGTTTTTATTTCCTTCGATTGTATAATTTATTTATTTTTTCATCTAGTTCAATCAGTTAAATTTTAATTTATAGTTTATGATGGATTTTCAGTATCGAGAGATTTTGGATGTATTTTTAATTTGGCCTGAAATTGTAAATATGGAAACTAATATCTTGAACCTTTGTAGTTTGTAGTATTAAATTCTGTATACGATAAAAGTGCTTTTGCTAGTTTTGAAGATTTTAGTGATAACTTGATATTTACTGCGAGTTTTATATGAGAAAAGCGCTTTTAATGTCTTCTTATATTGATCTTGGAAGTAGTAGGGGAAGTATTTTTTTTGAAAACCCTCCTTTTTTTTCCCCTTTAATTTTTGTCACGTCTAGTAATGGCGGATTTTCCTCTTTTCTTTATCTCTTTAATTTTTAACCTAATGGTTGTCCTGTTTCTCACTTTGAATTGTTCTTTTTTTTCATTTCATTTTAATAGTCAGAATCGATGCTGTTAGCTGAAGTTGGTGCTACTGTGTTAGTCTTGCTTGGTTTTGCACCCACTACCCTTTCAGCCGCTGGTTCATCTAAGGTCACTCTTTAGTTATCAATCCCGATTAATTAGCCTTTTTCTGTGTTTTTTTTTCAAAGACATTTGTGGTTTTGTTGCAGCTAAATGAGGTTCTCGTTCCCAATCCATTTGATAGGCCTCGTGCAGTTTTTATGCTTGAAGTCAGTGGAATCAATGGTACCTTCACTTTAAGTTGAATTCCACTTTCTGTATTTTTCTTTTTCTCCTAATCCCTTGTCTGCAGTTTGTTTAGATAAACATTCTTCTGTCTTCAGATCCTCTTGTTGTTGACCCCAAAAATGCTCTCTTCAGTAAAGCCTTGAAGAGTAGTGTAGATGTAGATTCAAGTAAAGCAGACATTCAGCTTCCAGGTATCTGATTTTTTATAACGATATAAAACTAGCATATATTGGTCTTAACTTTTCATTGTTTTGTAGATTTTTCCTGAATGCACATTCATTAGGAGTTTTTGAATTATATGAATTTTCTTGCAGATGAAGATGAAGTATCTGTGGTTTCTTTGGATGAGCCTCTCAGAGATTACACTGAAGAAGAGATCAATGACTTTGTTAGTTTACTATTCTGGGCTTTATTTGTTTCCTTTTTTCATTGTTCACCCATGTCACAGTGGTTTTATACATATGTTTAGGCTTCCTGGGTGGGTGGATCATATGAAGCTGATGCTACGAAACCTCTTCTTGGAGTTTTGACTATTCCGTTGACAGATGTTGACAGTGTGAATCTTCGTATGTCAGAGGTATTGTTCAGGAGCCACTGTTTATTGCTGTTTTATGATTTTTTATGATACTGGCATAGTATTTTATCTTGAGTTCTCATCACCTCATCGAGAGCTTTTTTCTTCTATTGTTTACAGAAAGCACACAGGGAGTCTGCATCAAGACTGCTTGCTTTGTTCCACAATATACGGAAAGCAATGGAGATGCATGGAGAGTTGTTGAAGACTTCACATAGACTCGCTGAGTTGATAATGGGTTCTTTTGATGATATTAAGGTACTGACATATGGAGTTGATTCAGCTAATCTAATTAGTATTGTGTTTCTACATATAGATATCTTGTTTGAATTTGTATTTGAAGAATATCAAATTTAAGTGGAAGGTTTGTTTTATCCTTTTCAGCCCATTTTCCATGATTAGAAACCCTTGTGAATACATTATTTAGGAAGAAAGGGTTTATTTGCATTATAGAAATTGATATGAAACTACCCATCTATCGGATTATGACACTGCTTTGTACTGACAAATGGCATTCTTACCTCCATACTTGCTAGGCCTTGTAATGTGTGTAAGGAGACATGCCGATTTTGTCTTGTATCTACTATGTACAAGAATTATTACCATTATAGCTGCACAACATCAATCAAAAGTCTCTTACATTGTCTCTAACTATGGTTGAAGCGTAGAAAATAGTGAATTCTATCAGGGAATGTATTTTTTTGCTATTGTAATATCTGTATTGCCCCTTTTTTATGTTTGTTTCCTCATTACATACCCCTTGCTAAACCTTTTATTGCTTCCTAAAAACAAAATCAGGTTTTGCAGGAGCTGCAAGACAGAGACGGTGTTGATAAGCTAGGAACTAAGCTTCTGCTTCTCACACTTACGAAGATGTATGATTCACTGCAGAAAGCTTATGGAGGTTGGTAAAATGTTGAACTCTCCATTATTGAATGAAAAAGACCTTTACTAATTAAGACTTAAGAGTGATACAAAGTTGGCATTCTTTACTAATGAAGAGCTTATGCTTACAATTTGCATGCTCTCTGTATATAAAAGCAAAGCCAGACATTGTTTGCAACTATTTCAAAAGGAAACTATGATATATGTTTTTAAAATTATTTTTTCATAGGTTTCTTTAGATGCAATCGTGAAGCTACACATGCTAATTTACATGCAAGTCTGTATGCATTTATGCCGGTGATGGCATTTCTTAAAATTTGCAGTGAATGCTTTTCATCTCGAATTATTGAAATCATATATCTTTATATTACACGTGGCCCGGCAATCCCTGGCTGCCAAATTGTTTTAACAATTGTAAATTGATGATTGATCAGGTCAAATTGTTGGAGTAATCGTCTTTAATGGGGTATCTCAGCCAGAATCAAAAACATTGATGAATGTGACGTATACCTCTGGCCCATCTCGGCGTTGGTTAGAAGAAACTAAGAAGTCCCTTAATACCACTGTTGCTGCACAAGTGTTGGTTAGAAGGACCCTTGCTTGGGTAACTGGACTCGTTCTTATTCTTTCAACTCTCTTGGGGGTAAGATCTGTTTTATACATTAATGTCTTTTAAATGGTTCCTATAGTGCATTTTCAGCATTTCTTCTAATAGAAGATCCATGAATTTGTTTTGAATCTGATAGCTGAAAACTGAAGAATCCTATTTCTTCTTGTTAACACGAAGAGTTGATATTCATTGTTGGTTTGTCTATATATATATAATTCTACTGCAGGTTCACTTCCTTCTGAATATGCCATTGACAAGGGATACGCTTTTGTATTCAAATGTGAAGCTTGACTAAGCTGGAACATTGCATTAGAGCTTCGGGAAGCAGACTGATTATTTTTTATGCTTTTTCAGAAGTGGGAAATAATTGAAGGGTATTTAGTCTTTAATCAGTGGATGATGTTGTTGGATTAGGTATACATCACTTTTCAATCATTATAATTAATTTCTTCTTCTATCCATGTACTTGTGTTGATTAAATTATAGTATGAAATTTTGTTACAAATTAGTTCAATTTTCAAATTTATCAAACAAGTTTATTCACGTAGATATCCAAATTGGCAAATTTGTCACTGCGATTTCAATTTCGATAAGTTTTGGGTAATTGGAATATTTCACAAAATATTTTGCAATATTCACTTCATTTTTCTTGAAAGTGAAAATATTCTTTAAGAATGTGTTTCGATTATTAAATCCCTGGACGACCTTTATTTTTAATTTTTTATTAAGGTTTTTTCTCAGATAATTAATTTATTTTTGGGTAAAAGTAATGCAAAATTTTAAATTTTATGAGGATTATTAAATGGGATTTTGATATTGTAAATCCTTTATAAATAAAAATTCATCTAAAAGATGGGTTTTTTTTAATAAAAAAAATCTTAATTTTAATTTATTTAATGCATATGGTCTTAATGTAAAATTAGATAAAAATTTATTTTCATTTAATTCTAAGAAATATTATATTTATTATTTGTATATTTCTATAAATCTAATGACAACGGATACTAGCATTTTAAAATGTTGTATTTCAAAATACCTGCATCTTTAAAATCTCAAAAATTCTACAATTTCTCGTCCAAACACACCCTAAAACTTCATCAATTGGACCCTAATAGATACTAGATGTTTGTAGATACTTTAGGTAGAAATTTGAGGTTTATGTGTACTGTATTAAATATCTGAGACTGACAAGAACTTGTTAATTGAGTTACTGTTATTGAAATATTGTAAAGATTATCATAAAACTTAATGATATAGAATTGTGTGTGTGTGTTAGAGAATATGTTGTAAAATAACATCGTTAGCATTGATTAGTAAATAATAAAAAGGTATAGGATGATTTACTATACTATGGTAGAAGTTACTATTTAAAAGTAATTTCGCTTGAATCGGTATAATTTTAAAAGTGGATATTCTCTCAAAATCAACACAACTCTGAAGATGGTTGTATTAATAAATATGATCAATCCAATGCTTAATTAGGAGTTTTTCCTAAGGAATTTATGGTACGGATTTTAATGTCCCTTTTAAAGAAAGGTTTTTAGGATTATTTTTATAGTTAATGGTGGAAAATTTTAATTAATATGGACTAGTAGAGTAAATTATTCACGAGACTTCGAAAATTAGGCATTCCCGTGAATTGAAAATAGGATGAATTTAAGAAAAATAATGAAATTGGAAGATTAAACAGTTTGGAAAGAAAAAAGAAAAACTTAGGTTAAACTATGGTTTAAACTAATTATATATGTGGATGAATTTAAGAATGAAATTGGAAGATTAAAAAGTTTGGAGATCAATTTAGAATGAGGGTAACAATTTAGGGATAAATTGAAATATTCAAAAGTTGAAGGACTAATTTAAAATGAAAATCATAGGTTGGAGGTGAAATTAAAATATTCAAAATTTTAAAGATCAATATAAAATGAGGGTCATAATTTATGAGCATATGATGCAATTAACTCAAACGCGTATAACATGATATGTTTAATTAACTGGTGTGCTAATTTGTAATCTTATGGTACTTTAAATAAAGTGTACGTAGGATGTAATATGTATGTGTTGTCAAGGATGAATCAAGGGGAACAAGCAGAATCAATCGTTTCTTTAAATTCTTATATATTTTAGATATCTTTTTATTTTTTGTTAAAAATTTGTTTTCGCTCTCCTAAACTTTTATAAGTTATCAATTCCTTAGAATTTTATAAATTCACCTCTCATATCATAAACTCTTATATTCATATTTGTGCATTATAACCACATATATATAGAAAACTTAAACTAAAAATTAGGACTAAATTAATAGAATATACAAGTAATGAGGACCAAATGTAGAATTATACCAATTTTACTAATAGACATGTTATCACTTATGTTAAATGTTAACGACAATTGGTTTGATTAAATGTATTTAAATAGTTGAGTGACCTGATTGATGAAAATTCAAGAACAGTGGTCAAAATGAAAATGGGCAATAGTTAGGTGGTTATTGTTATAGTTTACCCTAATTTTATTATGTCATGTTTTTGTCTTCTTTTAATTTATCTTATATTTTATATATTTATTATAATTATTTTAGTTTAATTCAAAATTATTTGGATAAAATATTATAATAATATTTTTTATAGAAGATTAAAAATATAAAATATCTAAATTACAATGAAGGTTTACGACCACAATTGTAAACTAAACACATAATAAAGACATTTTCTCAAACACAAGAAAACTAGTCACTTAAGATCACAAAAACCATAAGAGGAAAAGGTTAAAAATCTAACCAAATAAACTCAGATAAAAGGTAGATACAACCATATCTGACTGCATCAGTAAACGAACCACAAAAGGAGATGAAGCTATTGAAAGACCACCGACAAATCACAAGTCAAAATTGAGCGATATGAAAATATTATATGCGAACACAAATCATGTATCCAAATTCAATGTGAGGGTCCAGTATAAGAAGATTAGCATGGTAACAAATAAAATCTATCTTGATCAATTGTAGCGATATCAAATCCAGCTCTGAAAAAAGGATAAATGAAAATAACGACAAACGATAAAAACGTGTCATAAAGGCATATAAAAAGTGTCATAAAGGCAGAAAAAGATGAACCATAAAGGCATAATTATTAAAAATAAAAAAAAAAAAAATATGTTATGAGAAAACAAAGGAAAATAGTGAATACTGGTGGTCGGCGATCAACACCAAGACTAATAATATAATTAAAACAAAATATATAGTTTTTATATTTCATTCTTAAATGCCGGGATAGAGGCATAGAGCCAGATAATAAATCTAGAACATATAAAAGTATACATATTATCATTTATTTAAAGTTTTCAAAGAAAGTTGACTAAGTTTTAATTTAATAGATACTATTGTTATTGTAATATTATAGTGTGTTGATTTTTTTTTAGTAATTTTAGTGGTGAAAAGGAATGTCGATTTATCTAGATTTGAATAGTTGTATTTATACCGTGTGTACACATAGTAAGAAAATAAAATATTTATGATCAAATATTATATTATGATCACTTAAACTATTAAAAGAATTATGTGTCTAAAAATGTTTTAATGTTTGTTAATCTCAAATTTAAGATCTAAAGAGTCTGACTAGTTTAGATATTATATTAAATTTTTTAAATAAAATTGACAAGGTTGATTCAAGTGGTAAGTAGTTTGATATCACTTAAGTGAGGTCTCATGTTTAAGTCCTTGTGTATGTAGGGAATTCCGTTGGGAGACTCGTCCACCAAATCTAGGTGTCCCACGCAGATCCGATTCAGATTAATCAGAGCAAAGCCTTAGAACCGAGAGGGCAACAATTTTTTTTAAAACAATACGAATTAAGCAACTTTAATGGTTAAAGGACTAGTTGTCTCTTAAGGTTCTGCATTCAAGCACCGTGAATATATGAATATGACCGTTTATTGTTAAATGTTTGAGAGTTATGAAGATATATTATATTGTATTTTTCTCATATTTTTAAAAAATCAAATAAAGAACAAAATCTAAATTAAATAATTTTTTATATAATATCTAAACCACCAATATTCCTTTTAACTCCTAATTTGAAAGTGCTTAACTAATTCCATATTTAAATGTATTGAAACTCATAATTTTAAAATTTTATAATGATAATAATAATTAAACTAATATTTAATTAACAAAAAAACAAAAGACTGAAAATTTCCAAATTAATTAATTCTTAAAATAAAAGTATGGTCAATTATTCTATGCCAGCGCCAAAATTGAATACTCAACCAAAAAGTCAATATACTGTTTTACAAGAACAAAAGGGTAAACTACAACATTGATCTCTTTTATATTTTGTTTGCTTATTTTGAGTATAGTTTTGAAATGGTTACAGTCTAGTCACTTTTATTTTTAATTTATCTTATTTTAATCATTGAATCGTTATCTCCTACTAATTTGATGACGTAATATTTTAGTAAAAATTATTAATATTTAACTTGAGCACTAAATTGGTGGTGTTTGATCCTACCTAAAGCCAATTTTTTACTTAACCATTTAACCTATATCATAAAGTAAATTACGCTAATAATTATTGTATTTTAAGGATATTATTTTTATTAATCTAAAAATGTAATTTGTTTGAAAGACTCAACTCATTTAACAATGAATGTTTAGACAGTCCTAACATACGATGTTTTCGAATCTATAACTTCTAGGAATAATAACTATTTTTTAATCCTTGAGATAACTTAATCTGTACAATTTTATGTTAGTCGTTGACGTAAAAAAATATTAAGTTATTATTGTAAAGTAAATTTTTATTTTAATAGACGTGATATGTCTACATATCAACAACAACGGAATCATCATGCTCATTTATTATTTTTTAATAAATTAATATATATTTTAATGAGATTGTGATACATTTTATTTTTTATTAATATAAGATAATTACGAGTGAAAATATTTGTTTTAAATACTCTCAATCATTTGATAATGAGCACTCAAATACTTTGCAATCATGGGTACTTGAAGTCGGAACCTTTAGGGATAACAATCATCTTTTAATCACTGAGATAACTTGATTCATATTGTGTTATCATTTTATTAATAATAAAATAATGAAAATATAGAAATAACATAAAGTGAGTAATATTTGGCCTTGGCTTGTATAAAATATAAAATGAATGAACTTGGACGTGATTCGAACCGGAGACCACTATAAAGAGGTTTAATGAAAGTTTTTCGATTTTGGTGACCAAAATATAAGCATCTTAAATATTTAATGACCATAACTGTAGTTTACTATTTTTCCTTAAAGAAAAGGCAAATCAACCTAGGATAAAGGGGTAATTAGAAAGGATAAAATTATACATTTAGTATCTAAACTACTACTCTTATTCTTTTTTGGTACCCAAACTTCATTATTTTTAAAATCATACCTAAAGTTTAATTTTTGTTTCATTTTGATATTCTGTTGTTAAAAATTTAA